AGTGTGCGGTTGGGGAAGAAGGGGGGGGACGTTAGTCTGTCTGCTGCGGTAGTGTGGGAGGGAGAGGGGACTGTGTCGGGGCTGTAGTTGAGATTGGAGCTGTGCTTGAGATTGGAGTGTCTAGGTTTAGAGTAGCAAAAGAATTTGGCCGGGGGAGATTGAATGTAGAAGTGGAAGTGGGGAAGTAAGTAGGTATAGGGGAGGATATAGGAACAGCGACATTAGTCGAGTAGGGAGTATAACAGAAACCTTGTCGACGTGCTTCCTGTCTGGTTTCACGTAGAGTGAGACCATTTTTGTATCTGAGAGTTGCTACCTCAGACTCAAACTTGAAAGTGAGACAGCCTCTATAAAATACATAATGGGGACCGCTGCAGTTAGCACATGTGCGTGTTTGTGCAGGGCAGTTTGATCGGTTTTGACCGGGTTGGGCACATATGGGGCATCGGTCTGTGGAACGGCAGTGTTTGGCAGGGTGTCCAAAGCGCCAACAGTTTCGACATTGACGGGAAGGAGGTTGGCATGGTCGAACAGGGAAGGATTGTCCACCAATGTAGATACGAAAGGGAAGATCATGTGTACTGAAAGTAATTTTGGCAATGTTTGTGAGATTCTTTCGATGGCCTCTAGGAGGAATTGAGTAGCAATATACTGATTTCACGTCTTGGTATTTAAGGCAGCCGAGTAAGTCTTCTCCACAATCTGTCCAATCTTTGGTATCGACTGGGCAATTTGGGGAGATAGAGACAGTTCCGGTACAAGTAGTTAAGAGTTGGCAATCCCATTTTGTAGGAATGTGATTACCATAGAAATCAGTTAGACTTGATAGTGCTATGGCTTCAATTTCAGATGTAACTGTAACGAGACGAGAACGATCGGGCCGGGTAAGGAAGGGGACTCAGCCCACTTGCTTTTAGGGACATTGTTGAAATAGTTAATGGTTAAAAGCAAAATTAATACGCTAGACATCTAAGGTCATATAGCACTATAGGAAGGTATAGTAAAGGAGGATGTCAGGTGATAGTTGCTATGCGTTATCTAGAGTAATGTTGAAAGGTTGGAGTTGGATAAGGGTTGATGAGGGAAAGGGTTATGGTGGTTTAGGTAAGGGAGTTAGATCAAGTGAAGGATATTCAGGTGTTTTATGATGGCTAAGTATAGACGAGAAATAAAGGGAGTGTAGGGAAGAGATGAAATGGTAATTGGGAATTGGAATAGGAGGATGTGTGAAGAAAGTCTACTTGGAGGCAGATAATAGATGGGTTATAAGAAGCAAGGATATGACGTAGGTCTGGTCTGTGAGAACGGAAACCGTGAATATTCCAATGTAGGAGAGCTATATCTTTTATTTTATGAGTGAAAGCGTTGGTACGTATTGGGGAATGGGGGGGGGGGGTGGAGGAGCTAGGGGGTGTAAAGGAGGGGAATCAGGAGGTAGGGAATCTGGGGAAGGGCATTGTTGTGACATGAGTGATTCCCGTGTGTATCCGGGAGGGAGTGGAAAGGATAGAGGGGATGAAGGCAGGGAGAATGTGCGTATAGTTGGGTTGAAGGGGTGGGTTGTGTTGGGAGGGTAGGAGGAAGTGGTGTGGGGGGAGTATTAGTAGTAGGAGGGTGGATATCGGAAGGATGGATAGTTGGAGTTGAAGGGGATGTGTTGTCTTGGGAGGGATTAGGATGAAGGGGTGTAGGGGTGCTATGAGTAAGAGGGGGATGGATATCAGGAGGATGGATATCGGTGGTGGACGGAATTGGGGGTGTTAGGTTGTATTGAGAGGGAGGAGGAGGAAGATCACTTCAAGTGTGGAGGGAGCTTGAGTTACGGAATTTTGTGTCTCAAGCATATAGCTTTGAATGTCATCCATAGTTTCTGCAGTGGAGTTGGTTGGAGAGTTTTGCGGGACAAAAGTTTTCTTATGAGGGGGGGAAGAGGAGACTGGTGTCTCAGGAACAAAGGTAAAGGTAGGTGGAGGTGATTGTGCTGTAGGGGAAGAAGGGTTAGAACGTTTAGTCTGTCTACTGCGGGTAGTGCGGGCAGGGAGAGGGGATGGTGTTGGGGATGTAGTTGAGATTGGAGCTGTGGTTGAGATTGGGGTGTCTGGATTTAGAGTGGCAAAAGAATTGGTCTGAGGGAGGTAGAATGTAGAAGTGGTTGGGGCTGTAGTTGAGATTGGAGCTGTGGTTGAGATTGGGATGTCTGGATTTAGAGTGACAAAGGAATTGGTCTGAAGGAGGTAGAATGTAGAAGTGATAATGGGGACATCTTAGGGTGGAGGGGGAGTGGCTGAGCGAACGATGTTACTAGAGTATGGAGTATGAGAGAAACCTTGTCGACGTGCTTCCTGTCTGGCTTCACGTAAAGTGAGACCATTTTTGTATCTGAGAGTTGTTGCCTCAGATTCAAACTTGTAAGTGGGGCAGCCTCTATAAAATACATTATGAGGGCCGCCGCAGTTAGCGCATGTACGTGTTTGTGCTGAGCAGTTTGATCGGTTATTACCAGGTTGGGCACATATGGGGCATCGGTCTGTGGAACGGCGGTGTTTGGCAGGGTGTCCAACGCGCCAACAGTTTTGACATTGACGGAGAGGGGGTTGGTATGGTCGAACAGGCAGGGATTGTCCACCAATGTAGATACGTAAGGGAAGGTCATGTGTACGGAAAGTAATTTTGGCAATATTGGTCGGATTCTTTCGTTGACCTCGAGGAGGAATGGTGTAGCAATGTACTATTTCACATCTTGGTCTTTGAGGCATCCTAATAAGTCTTCTCCACATTCTGACCAATCTTTGGTATCGACTGGGCAGTTTGCTGGGGAGAGAGACAGTTCCGGTACAAGTATTAAGGGTTGGATGAGATTCTGCAGGAATGGGGTTGCCAGAATGATCAGTTAAATTTGATAGTGCTATAGATTGTTTCTGATCTGACTGTTACAAGACGAGAGCGATCGCGTCTGGTATAGAAAGGGACTCTGCCCACTTGTTTTTGGAGGCATTGTTGAAAGAGAAGAGTGTTGCCTGAGTAAGCTGTAGAAGGGATCACGAAAAATCGGTCCCATTTAGCTGGGCTAAACAGAGTATTTAAGATATCTGTAGGGTTGTTGGTGGTGGATGGTCGAGGACGTGTGGAAGATGGAGTATTACAGAGTGATGGAGAATAAGGCTGTAAGGTAGTAATAAGGGAGGATGGGGTGCTTGATGAAGGTTGTGGGGGTAGAGTTGATGAATTTGAGGAAGTTGGGAGGGTAGGAATGTCTTCTAGAGATTGAGTCTCTGCTTGGCATTGAGGAGTGGGTAGTAGTTTCAGTGTTCGGAGTCGTGGTCAAAGGAGAGCCTGGGGTGGGGCTATTTGATAAAGGGGCAAGCCTCATTGTCCCTAAATAAGGGGATTAGATCTTCATTACTGGTCATGGGGAACCTTGATTATATAAAATGGCATAAACGGTCCACCTTCTTTCACTAGAGGTAAGGGCTAGACAAATAAATCGGGAGTACCGTGCCCATAGTTACCGCAGGCCGTTCAGGACTGGCACAAGGTTAGCCTATCATCCTCTCAGCATGGCTCTTACACCTTAGGAAGTAGATAGTAAAAGGGGTTGGAGAAGAGACGGAAACAAAAAGCTGGAGGGGGAAAAGACCATGCAAAATTAGTTGAGTCGAGGGCTGAGGCCCTAGGCAGGGGAGATCCCTGTATTGGGTCTCAGTCTTCGTCTCATAAGCCCCCCCACGATAACAACGGGCAAGGGATTGGGGGGGGGGCATTGTTGAAAGAGAAGGGTTTTGCCTGTGTAAGAAACAGCAGAAGGGATCATGAAAAATCGGTCCCATATGGCTGGGGTAAATAGAGTATTTAAGACATTGGTAGAGTTGTGGGTGGTAGAAGGACGGGGACGTGTGGAAGAGGGAGTATTGTTGAGGGGGGTAATATCACGGAGAGATGGAGAATAAGGCTATAAGAAAGGAAGATGAGGTGATTGGTGAAAAAGGCTGTGGGGGTAGAGTTGATGAAGTTTTACAAGTTGTGAGAGTAGGAGTCTCGAGTTTACATGGAATCAGTTTAAAGTTCGTTTTCATTCTAATGTTGCCATTAACTCATTCAAGGCCTCTAAATGTCTGGGACAATGCACTAGTCGTGGTCAAAGGGGAGCCTGGGGTCAGGGAGCCGGGAGAATTTAAATCGATGGGGTTATTTGATGAAGGGGCAAGTCTCATTGCCTCTAATATGGTTATTATTTCTTCCCTACTGACCATGGGAAGCCTTGCCTATGTTGGGGAAATAAACAGTCCACCCCTTAGGGTCCCCTTGAAGGGCAAGGGCTAAACAACAAAACAGGGGAATACTGTGCCCATGGTTCCCTCAGGCCGTCCAGGACTGCCACAAAGTCAGCCTTTCATCCTTTCAGCACGGCTCTTACATCTTAGGACGCAAGGTCTATATAAGTACTCATATACACCTTGTTAGGAAGTATACAGCAGGAGAGGTTGGACAAGGGATGGAAACCAAAGAGCTGGAGGGAGAAAAGACCATGCAAAATTAGTCGTCGAGGGCTGAGGCCCCTGGCAGAGGAGACCCAGCATTGGGTCTCAGTCTCCGTCTCCTAAGCCCCCCCCACGACAAAAACAGGCAAGGGATTGGGAATTGATGGAGAGGGAGAGAGAGTGGGGCATGTTTGGAACATGTGAGACATGTTTGGAAAAGATGTGATCTCTCAGCTAAAGTAAAAAGTAATCAGCCCAGAAGCTGGGTTTGAAGAGATGGCCATTAAAATAAGATGGTCATGTGTTAGAAGAAATTTACAGTTCACATGGTCTGCTTTTATGTGTTGTTTTAAAGTCACGTATATTCTGTACTCATTTATTGAAGCTCGCAGAATTTTTCAAGTATCTCTTGGCAAGTGGCACAGGAAACAAATAAATTAGGTTTACAATCCACAAAAATAGGTATCCTGATTTTCTTTTCCAGTATTGAAATGAATAATTGTGTTAGACAATGGCATTGAGAAAGATTTATAATATATTTATTTTATTCTAAAAATATATACACTTACAATTACATTATATTGCATTGATAGTTGCATAAACTGAACCTGTTAAATGGTACAAACTGTTAACCAATTCCAAATTATTTAAAGATTTTGAAGAATATTTCCTAGAAACCTTTACAAGATAATCAAGATTTTTCTTTGCAACCACTTCCTAGCACCACAATAACATTAGTATAGTGAAGATACTTTGCTTAACAATTATTTTAACTTTGAACAATTCATACAAAGATTTCAGTATCACTGCTCTGTATCTGAATAGACAAAAATTGCATATACTGTCTTGTTAGTTATGATGTAATACATAAAATAATTGACATACTTACATTTCTGATTTTTTCCCATATAACTGTGAAAGTGACATTTGTCAAACTGTAAATCCATATTTGTTTTTTTCTTGTATTACCATAAAGCCAATTCAAGCCTATCAGCAAACTGGAAACTGGTAACATAATCACTAGCTATCTTTTCCTGAGAAAACAATCCAATATGGTTTTGAAGTTAACATGGAATCAGTTTACACTTCGTTTTCATTCTAGCGTTGCCATTAAATCATTCAAGGCCTCTAAAATATCTGGGACAAAATAAACCATGTGGTGTTTACAGAAGGCCCATCTTGGCACGGGTCAGATGCTCTCTTGCGATGATCAGGCGCTGAATCTGTGCTGTGCCCTCATAGATCTGGTAGATTTTGGCATCGCGCATCAACTTCTCTGCTGGGTACTCTGTGTTGAATCCATTGCCACCAAACACCTTTTGATTGATAAAAATGGTATTAGCATATATTCCAAGATTCCTGAATATGATGAAAAGAATTACTCAAAAAAACAGTAAATGAGGTTGCATTGGTAAGAAAATATTTACAAAGATAAATAAATGCCAACAAAGGGATCTACATATGATCTGACACTGTATTATTGTTATTACTAATATCATCATCTTTCCCTTTAGAAACCACTTTTAGAAATGAATCACTGTAACCTATTCCTCACCTGGACTGAGTTAGTGGCAGCACGGTTAGCAGCATCTCCAGCAAAGCCCTTGGCAATGGAGGCATAATATGTGTTGCGACGACCCTCATCAACTTCCCAGGCTGCTCTCATCCAAGCCAACCTGCCGAGTTCGGTCTCCATTGCCATTTCAGCCAAAATGAAGGCCACAGCCTGTGAACAATAAAAAGAATGATTATCTTGTTTGATTATTTATTGTGTTATGAAACTTTACAACTTCAACTATAAATAATCCTAAACTAAATGTATGAAACAAAGGTTTTCATCTGCTTAAACTAATATTCTTTACTTAACCAAGTGAGTATGACTCTCCAAAGAAAAAGAATAAAAGTGATAGAGAGGCAAGAACTAAACCCATTAAATATAGTGTGTAAACATGAATAGTAATGGAAGCAACCTTTTCAAAACTTTTCTTCCTTTTTACAAACTTACTTGATGGTTAGCAATATGAGTTCCAAAAGTCTTCCTCTCCAAGGCATACTTGGTGGCTTCTTCAAGGGCTCTCTGGGACAGGCCAACTGCTCCAGCTGCCACAGGGGGTCGAGTGCGATCAAAGGCACCCATTGCAATCTTAAAGCCAGCACCCTCACCTAAGGAATATTTATAATTCAGTTAGTTTTACAAAATCAGTATGCATTATATGCAATATGCACAGTTTCACAAATGAAATCTTTCCTTCAGTATATCTAAAAGTGATGACATCAGTCAAGAAATGAATTTCTTTATTTAATCAAACCTGAGGAGATAGGCTGAGACCTAATACTGGGGATCACACCTTCCATGAACATCATTCCTTGACTCAACTAATTTTGCATGGTATTCTCTTCCCTTTTCCTTTTCCTTCTTTTTTCCAACCCCTTCTACTATCCACTTCATAAAGGTGTGAGAACCATATTGAAAGGATGAAAAACTGATTTTGTGCCAATTGGAATGGCCTAGGGGAGCCATGGGCATCATATTCCTGTTTAGTTGTCTTAGTCCTCAAGGAAACCCTGAAGGGTGAACCATTTCACATTGCAACATACTTCAGGCTTACCATCGCCAGCAATGAAGTTTTTATACCTTTATCAAGGGCAATGAAGCTTAACCCTTTATCAACAAGCCCCACTGACTTTAATTCCCTTAGTTCCCTGACCCCAGGCTCTCATTTGACCAAAACTATGAACATTATTACTACCACCTCCTCAAAGCTTACTGTCTATAGTACTACTTCACTGAACACCACTCCCTCTTCCACAAGGTTATTCTCCTAACCTCACCTCTACAAACCTTTTGAGCAATCTGTTTAAGCTGCATAGGGTAGACTTTCAGTGATCCCCTCTACAGCCCCTTACTCTGACAACTCATTCCTCTTCCAACAATGCCTCCAAAAGCAACTAGGCAAAGATTCCATCTGCAGCCACACCCTAATCGTTCCTGCTTTGCCCTCCATTAATCTTGCCAGAGATTACTTTCCACAGACATAACCTCCTCCACAATGCTTACATCCCTCTCTATCCAATAACCTCCCCCCCTCAGAATTGTTGATGTTTAGGCTACCCTGCCAAATACTGATGCCCATTGCTCATACTCATTCATTCACTTATTCATGATCTTTTGCTCTTATTTTCTAAATTTATTGCTCTCATCCACTTATTTTTACCCTGTTTCTCTATATATATCCCTAATTCTATCATTTTCTCTCCTTATTTTCTTTTATTTTTGTTTCTCACTCCTATTCATCCACTTTCTCAATTTTCCTGTCTGTATCACAACAGGCTGAAAATCTGGAAAATCTAGTCTTTAACTCTAACATACAGGCATGCACTAATAGCTGTGGGGCACCTTAATCTATTGTACTGTGAATTCATAAACACTTCTCCTTTTCTGAAACTCAAATTTGGGTCAAGGGTCAGGCACACACTACATGCACTTTTTACTATACTGCTTATTATCATTATTATCATCATCTTGTTTGAAAATTATTAGATGATGCCTATAAACAGTCTTTAACAAAAAAGATTGTCTATCACCTGTAACTATAAAAGAAATCTCACATTTGTTATTATGAAACTAGGCCTAACCCACACAAAAACAATCAAACAGTTATAAACTTTCCACATCTTATCTATCATATCTTAGCTTTTACTAGTGTGGTTTTGTTGATAATTGCTTTTTTAGAAATCATATCATTTAACCTCTAGTTTCATCTTTGTTCTATGTCATATCTAAGCCGAAAAGGAGTCCATAAAACACTAACCAATGAGAACATTCTCTTTGGGCACAACAACATCTTCCAAGGTAAAGCCACAGGTGTTAGAGCAGCGCTGGCCCATGTTGATCTCCTTGCGACCCCTGATCAGCCCAGGAGAATCACCGTCAATGATGAACCCAGTAAATGCCTTAGATGATGGGCACTTGGGATCTGGGCTGTAATAAAGACATGAGAATAAGATAACTAAAGATTTGATACAGCCATTTCTATAATAAACAGATACTGATGATACTTTTATCTAACCTCAGGATATGCCCTAGCTTAAAAATTTGATTCAACATAACTTAACCCCCTGGACCCGGATGACACTGTGATTACGTCAAAGAAAAATTTGGGTAGCTACCCGGGTGATGCGAACAATGTGTCAAAAGCGAACGCCAGGGTGACATTAAAGACTCGCCACGAGTGCACAAACCTTTTGGAGTGTGATTCGACTCATTTGGCACTTAGAAGGGGGCTTTAGCATTATTCCCATCGGTAAACGAATGTGGATAAGGTGCATAAGCAGTGATTGGAAGAGCACCAGCTCCAGGGAGGATGCCATTTCCATGCTGAACACCATATTCTTGGCCACTGTGACCAGCAGCGCAGGTGTATTACGTAAAATTGAAAATTACAAAAACAATGATATATATGACAAATAACCAAATGTTCCCTTTTTTTTTTTTTTTTTTTCTTGCTCTGAGTTATTTACTACATAGAGATATAATATGGAATCTGTGCAAGGAAAATAAGTAATTAGCATTTGGATAAAGCAAATCAAAAGACAAATAAGGACATTGGAAAATGACGATAAAGCTAAAAAAGTATACACAAAATAACTTTTCAAAGGGGAGGCACAGAGTCTTGTCACGGCTCATGGGTGTTCGTGCGCGTCCAGCCTACACACTGCATGCCCGGGATGCTGATCACTTACGTAACCTATTGCATGTGGTTTTCAGCTCCATGATTTCCGTCATGCAACCGGATCCAAGGGGTAAATTAACAACTGTGGTGCTTTACAAAACTGTAAATACTATGGAAATATATTTAGAATTAACGTTAATAAAGCTTTACATAATTTCAAGTAGTAATTGCCATTACTCCACCCACCCCCAAAGAGAGAGAGAAACATGCAGCCCTAAAACAAAAGAAAACTACTCACTTGGTACGAGCTAACAGGAAATACCAGTTAGCAACTCCACCATTGGTGATCCACATCTTCTGGCCATTGATAACATACTCATCACCCTTTTTCTCTGCTCGGGTTTTGATTCCGGACACGTCAGAGCCAGCCCCAGGTTCAGTCACTCCATAGGCCTTCAAATGCAGCACAGTTTTGTGAAACCTCTCAAACACATCCTAGCTAAAGCTAACCTAATCTAAATTCCAATGTGTCATGTCTGATTTTGTAAAGAAGTATATGTTACTCACTTTAAATCTAATGCTCCCCTTTATCAATAATGTTCCTACTTACACACATCAATGGCTCCTCTGTCATGCGACCAAGGTACTTTTTCTTCTGCTCATCATTGCCAGCAATGATAACTGGCATTTGCTGCAAACAAGCACAATCATTAATAATCAAGCATGAAATAAAACCATATATTCTGAATATAATACAAAATCAAACATTTTCTTTAATGCTTCATTCAGTTAACTGAAGAAGTATGTCCAATGATGCCAAATGGCATGTCATATGCTATGATAACTGTGGGCCATAGTGGTGGTTGGCTTTGTACTTTGAGATTCTAGGGTAAAGTATTTCAGGTAGTGTCTGTGTATACTTTGTTACTTGCTTACTTATTAGAACATTTATGTTGTATCATCGTCATAAACAATCACAAGTATCATTATGAGTATAGAATAATTGAAGAGATGTGCATCAGCATATTTTGGTTATGAATGTGGTAAAATCAAAGCCATAACTATACCATCATTTTCAAATTACTTTGAAAAACTTCTACCTGAAGGGTTGTCTCTTGGTTACCATCCATAATGGCTCTGGTCTGTATATTTCCTAATTCAAAAAAAGATTGGTTACAAAATGATTTTGCTCATGTTTACCAGCTTGCTACCCTTATAACTCTATTCCTCACCTTTATATCTCAGATGCCTCCTTATATATACAAATAGCCAAACTTTAATTCATACTTAGATTATGGATATTCACTCATAGAACCATGGTTCCATAGCTGGTTGCAGACAGAAATCCCACCACAGTTGTCTATCTCTCACCCATGAAAACAAGCTAACTTTTCACCCTGCAAAGATTTCATATCCTCTGCTCAGTCTTCACTCTAGCACCATATCTCAAGGTTTATTAAACCCATGTCAATAAGAACAAAATGCATACTGATTTTCCCTGATCACCTGCCAAATCTTTATAGTTCTCAAGTCCCACAAAAAGAATCTATGCTCCTCCTTCACTCTCAACTTTTCAATGAGGAGTTAGAAGAACGAAAAAGTGGTCTTCTTGCATATGCCAACTCCATTCACAGGCATAGATTTCAGGGGACAACAAAGAATGCAGTGAGAAAGACATGGTACAGATATACCAATTATGCCATCATGTGTACTGGCAAAATAGGAGGAACATAGACCAAGTGTGTATGTAATGCCTGTGACTTTTCTTTGTGCCCTCTGCTGCTTGGAGAAATATCACACTTACACGAAGTACTAATCTGGTCTCTTCCTCTGCTCTTTATGTTTACATTCTATACAGTCTTTGTATCTTTTTCACCAAGACAACTCAGAAAAAATGTATATCTGTTCCATTAATAACATACATAACAAACAGTGCCTTCATAAAACCTCAGAGTAAGGTTAAACTATCAAGTATATTGATAACAAATTCACACTTTCACTTTTCATTCAGTATGATTTAGTATACCATTATTGTTGATGAGTAGTAATGTAAAGCCATGTAACTAAAAAAACTTTTGGGTACAGTGTGCACATACCATTAAGAAAATCCCATACAAAGGTAAGAAAGAAAAATTGTACACAGAGAGGGTTTAGTTTTACCATCTTAATCTTTATAAAGAATAATCCATATTGAAATCTTTTCCAATACATAAATTAAATCAACTCACCCCAAGGTTGTTAGCCTCCATTGCTGTCTGGATACCTGTACAGCCATAAGCAATCTCCTCAGTAATAAGGCATCCTTCAAAGGTTCCCAGTGCCATACCTCCAAATTCAGCGGGAATATGGGGATTCATGAGACCAAGCTCCCATCCCTTGAAACAAGAAAAAACAAACATATAAATAGGCAATCCTCAATCTTTTGTATATCAGCAAAATATCCCTTCTAGGTTAACTGCAATACCAATTCACAGAAAATATAAAAAAATCTGAATTTCGTCAATATAACGAGTCAATTTCATAATTTTAATAGACCTAAAATCACTGCAAAATAACAAACAGTACAACATAAAATTTCAATATCAATCAGGAAAATACTAATTATAGTAAAGACAACAGCTAACAAACATATCAACAACAAATAATAAAACACAAAGTTTTGTCATGAACTCTTAGAGAGAATTCTCAATCCATCATTGGTAAAGTACAATTGTTGCCTTTCAAAGGAATATATAAAAAATTCAATTACAGATTATTTTACATACCTTCTTGACAATTTCCCAGGGGTATTCCATTGTTCTGTCATACTCTGCAGCCTTTGGCACAATCTCCTCTCGTGAAAATTTGCGAGCTAACTCCTGAATCTCCTTCTGCTCATCAGTCAGGTCTGAAATTATGAAGAGTTGAAATCTTCCCTCAAATATAAATATCAATACAATTCAACATCTAATGCAACGTTTAAACTATACCCAACCAATTGTTACCAAGTACATGCAGGGTCTTTTTTTCTCTTTTTTTTTAACACATGGGTTTACAAATATTCAGTCCCAAAGAGTCAATTATAGAACTTACCTAACCTCACTTCTTACCCTACTCCTTGAATTTTTAAGGAAAAAGACCTTATTCTTTTCAATATCATATTGCTCCTAATAAAAGCTTTTCTTTCTGGAAATTCAAAGAAAGAGACAAATATCCGCTGTCTAGTAGTCCTTAAAAATGACTCCAATGTGACTTGAGATATGCAAGAGCATTATATGTGATTACAAAATTAATAAAATAAAACCACAGTGCATGTGGATGTGGTCAATCAAACTGAGTGCATTTGGGCTTTGGACATCAAGGTGAAACTGCCTCAATTGAGCAATGCCTCTCTGAAACTAGTGGGATATTTTCATATTTAATGGAGCTGTAATCAATGAGAGAGAGTGACAATGCAAATTTGATACTCTTAACAAGTTTCTTCCAGCTTAAATCACCCAACTATTGCCATTCCCCCTCTTTTGTACCCTTTCATAACAGTCTAGATTTTGTAGCTAGGCCTAAGCTGTGTTTAGTCAGCCCACCCACTCCAAGTCATGACATGTTAATGAGTCAAAGGCTGTTACTTCAAGACCACTATATCTGTCATCATCAGTATTATGCAATATGGTGTGTAACCTGTAGCACTATTTATTTTACACTCGCCGTTGTATGGGACTGCACAGGAGTGTGTGCAATGTGGCTGTGCTGCTTTCCCTCCTTCGCACAAACATGTTTGTGTATATATATATGAACACATATGTTTGTTTATATATATATAAACCCTTGCAGATACATGCAAGCACACAGACATATGTAAATGCGCTAAGAATGAGTGGAGGGCCTGGTTTTAGCACGTGCCGAAAGCATTCAACTCCTTCGGCGGGTAACACCCCATCGCCAGCTCAAGCCCGGGGTGGCAGGCCTGGGCCTTGGAAGGCTGCAAGGGGGACACCCACTTGGTGGTTGACATCCCCTGGCCCACTTAGCTCTAAGGCCGTGCGGCAGCCCACTGCTCCAGGGAATTAGCTGTCTATTGCACTTTGCATCAAATCATGCCATCTGCGACCAGCGCGTTATTATCATATTTCAGCACCTTTCTTAGATGACCCTAGGTTACTAAATTTTGGGTCTAAATCTTTTCTTCATTGATTTTCTGTATTTGTTATACTCATCTTTACTTACAGCACTTTCTTGGCAGCTTGTCTATATGTCTATGTGTCATGGATTTAAGTCAAAAGTGCTTATACAGCCCTTCTATTACTGCCACAAATTTATTTGTCATTTCATAATTGTTACTTGTCAGTATCCTTTCCTTTGATAGGATGTCATATCTTATAAATGGCTTCTGTAGTTGTGACTGTTTACCATCGTAATATCAATACTGCAACACACACAGCACATATCAAACAATATTTGTTGGAACATGTATACCCAGGGACACTGGGTAGCATGGAGAATCTCAAGCTAGGTTACTCAGCTCATCTGGAAACATGGTGTAACCTATGGAAACATAGCAGTGTACAATTAAGGAAGGACACTGCTCATTTGAGCAAAGGCCAGGGTGATGGAAAAGACTGGCTACAAATGACAAACCTCTTGGAGTGATTTTTGACTCATTTGGCACTTAGAATGGGGCTTTAGCATTATTCCCATGCAATGAGCATAAGCTGTGACTGGAAGAGGGCTGGCTCCAGGGAGGACACCATTCCAATGCTGCACACTATTTCTGGCCACTGTGACCAGCACCGCAGATTTATTACGGAAAATTGAAAATTATAAAAAAAAAAAAAAAAAAAAAGATATATGCCACATATAACCAAATGTCCCTTTTTTTCTTGCGCTGAGTTGTTAACTACATAGAAAGAAGATATAGAGTCTGTGCAAGGAAAATAATCTATTACCATCTGGATAAAGCACATCAAAAGACAAATATGAACATGTGAAAATGGCAACAAAACTAAAAGTTTACACAAAATAACTTTGCAAAGGGGAGGCACACAGTCTTGTCGCTGGTCATGAGTAATCATACGTACCCGGCCAGGATGTTGGCTACTTACGTAACCCACTCCCTGTATTTTCAGTACTGTGATTTTCATGACTCAACCAGGTCCAATGGATTAAGTAATGAAACGATATTGCTACGCAGTTTGTTCTCGTTGG